AAAAAAAAAAAAAAAAAATGTCAGTTTGGTTTGCATCTCAGGACTTTTGCACTTACTGTTCCCTTTGCCCTTCCTCTTGAACTTTACCTGCCTGACTCCCTCTTGTCATTCACTGAACAGCTTGACTGCCACCTCTGCAGAGTCACTGAACAGCTTGACTGCCACCTCTGCAGAGACCTCCCTGATCATCCACTCTGCTCTTTTTATGTTATCTGGTTGTTCCCTGCAGAGCTTGTTAACACTACCTGAAACTCTCTCATTCTGTTCCTCTTTCCTGGTTTATTATCTGTCTCTCCAACCCACGTTTCTTTTTTTTAAACAGTCTCCCTTTATTGTCCTTAGTAGAGTGCCATGGTATCACAGTTCATAGCAACCTCAAATTCTTAGGCTTTAAGCGATTCTCTTGCCTCAGGCTCCCAAGTACCTGGGATTACAGGCATCTGCCACAATGCCCAGCTATTTGTAGAAACGAGGTCTCCTGGGTGTGCCTCAGTGGGTAGGGTGGCGGGTTCAAACCCAGTCCTGGCCAAACTGCAACAAAAAAATAGTCGTTGTGGCAGGCGCCTGTAGTCCCAGCTACTTGGGAGGCTGAGTCAAGAGAATCACCTAAGCCTAGGAGTTGGAGGTTACTGTGAGCTGTGACACTATGGCACTCTACTGAGGACAATAAAGTGAGACTCTATCTCAAAAAAAAGGGGGGAGGGCGGTGCCTGTGGCTCAAAAGGGTAGGGTGCCAGTCCCATATGCCAGATGTGGTAGGTTCAAACCCAGCCCTGGCCAAAAACTGCAAAAAAAAAAAAAAAAATAGCCAGGCATTTGGTGGGCTCCTATAGTCCCAGCTACTCAGGAGGCTGAGACAAGAGAATTGGCTAAGCTCAAGAGCTGGAGGTTGCTGTGAGCTGTGACGTCATAGTACTCTACTGAGGGCAACAAAGTGAGACTGTCTCAAAAAAAAAAAAAAAAGTCTTTCTCTGGCTCAGTCTGCTCTCAAACTCATGAGCTCAGGCAATCCACCTGCCTTGAGTGGCCTCCCAGAGTGCTAGGATTACAGGCGTGAGCCACCACACCCAGCCAATCCATGTTTCTCTGAATCCCTGTGCCTGGAACAGGACTGGTACAGAGCTGACAGCAATAAACATTTGCTGAGTAAATGAACCCACACCCCCAGTGGCCCTGCCTCAGGCTCTTCTGTTCTTAGCTGGGCTCTATCCTAACCCAAAGGTCTGCCTGTTGTCCCCCAGACCCCCCTTTTCAGTGAAGCCTCTCTATTGCCCCCAGCTGTGTGCCAACTTGGACACGTGGTGCATCATGTCACCCCAGAGCTCCTGCTCCCAGCTGCATGAGTACAACCAACAGCCTTGCAAACAGTATGACATCTGCCACAGGCGCAGCCAGGTGTGTAAGGGGAGGGCCGGGGACAGGAGTGGGGTCTGGTGTGAACTAAGGGGCACTTAGTCATGAGCCCTGACTCCGCCCTCACTGGCTTTGCGACTTCAGGACACTTGGTTATGTCTCTGAGCCTCCATTTGTTCTTTCTGTGAAATGGGGCAGATATAGCCCAGGGCCACACCCTGCTGTGTGGATTTACTCAGAGTATCTGTCAAAGCCCTTGACATGCTGTGAAGTGCTCTGCAAACCATAAAACCTGACACTTTGTACTGAGTCTGTACCAAGCCCTCTCCTCAGTGGGGACACTGCCTGGAATCTACTATGACAGGGCTGGACAAGAACTAGGCATCACTGTGTCCAGACCAGAGGACAAGGGCATAGAGCAGGTGAGAGTACAGGAGGTGGGTGCAGGAACCTGTCTCCTGCCTACAGCCAGCCGGTTCTGGACAGATGGGTGACAGCAGTTGGCATGCGCTGCAAGCGGGGGTCAGCGCTTCACTGGGTGCCCATCCTCTCAGCTGAGATAAATGGGCAACAGCAGTTGCCGTGCACTGCAAGTGGAGGTCAGTGCTCCACTGGGTGCCCCTCCTCTAGTGAGTGGGAATTCCCTTACACCTTCACTCCTGTCGTCCAGGATCCATTTGGGGACTTGCTAAAAAAGCTCATGGACCAAGTGCACGACCGCTTGGACATGCCTGAGTTGAGCCGAGACTTTGGGATGCAGATCTACGAGCAACAGATGGTAGACTTGAGCCGGGATGGTAAGAGGGCCCCTCTGAGGTAGAGTTACTGGGGCTGGGCTGGGCAGAGCAGGGCTTTCAGGGCATGGACTGGCCACTTGGGCGGTGTGGGATGGTGCAGGGGCACTGGGCCCTCCAATCCTGCTTCCTTGTACCATAGCCGCGGAGAACGGGCTCCAGGAGCGGCGAGTGTACGCGCTTCACCTGCGGCGCTACAATGACGCGCTGCTCATCCATGACACGGTCCGTGCTGTGGACGCCCTGGCCACGCTGCAGGATTTCTACAACAGGGAACGCACCACTAAAACTCAAGTCCTGTATGCTGAACGTTGGCTGCTGGCACTATTTGATGGTGAGGCCGGGTACCAGGGTGGGGTGACAGGAACTGGACCAGCAGTCAGAGGCCAGCCAAGGTTCAGGTGCCCACACAGCACGGGAAGGTGCCAGCGAGGACACTGGGAGTCTGTGATGATTTCTTTGTGAAAGTTTGCATAATGGCTCGGCACCTGTGGCTCAAGCGGCTAAGGCGCCAGCCACATACACCTAAAGTGGCGGGTTTGAATCCCCAGCCTGGGCCCACCAAACAATAATGGCTGCAACCAAAAAATGGCCAGGCATTGTGGCAGGCGCCTGTAGTCCCAGCTGCTTGGGAGGCTGAGGCAGGAGACTCGCTTGAGCCCAGGAGTTGGAGGTTGCTGTGAGCGTGATGCCATGGCACTCTACCCAGGGGGATAGCTTGAGGCTCCATCTCAAAAAAAAAAAAAAGTTTGCATAATTATAAAAAATAGTTGACATTATTGACAAAGAATTTTTTTAAAAGAACATATATTGGGGGCAGCACCTGTGGCTCAGTGGGTAGGGCGCCAGCCCCATATACCAAGGGTGGTGGGTTCAAACCCAACCCCGGCCAAACTGCAAAAAAAAGAAAAAAAAAATAGCTGGGCATTGTGGCAGGCACCTATAGTCCCAGTTACTAGGGAGGCTGAGGCAAAGAGAATTATCTAAGCCCAGGAGTTGGAGATTGCTGTGAGCTGTGACACAACGGCATTCTACTGAGGGCGATAAAGTGAAACTCTGTCTCTATTAAAAAAAAAAAAAAAATCATGTATTGGAATGGCCCTTGAAAGCCTCGGGTAGTGGTTCCTTTAGACTGGAAAAATAAGGCTGAAGGTCAGAGGGTGAATTTAAGGCTGAAGACCTCAGCATTGGCTGAGGCTCAATAAACCTGAGGTGTAGTCAGTCCTGGGTAACAGAGGTCAGCATGGAGAAATTCGTGGTCACCTTCGTGGCTGAGTTAAAGAGGGATGCTGGTCTGAGGTCTGTGAGCAGGATTCAGTACCATGTGCCCCTGGTGTAAAGCCCGCCTCCAGAGTGGGTATGGTAGAGGGTATCCTTAAATGTGCTTTTGGTACCTGCTCTGGGGACCCAAGCAGGAGCAGGTATCCTTCCAGTAGCCCCTCTGCACTCTTGCAGTCCCATTTCTGTGAGCATCTCCTGCCCAGTGCCTTATTCCCTCCCAGACCTGAATCCTGTGCCTCTGTTTTGGCTTTTTGAGCAGATAACAAGAATGCACTGGCCCACTTAGCAACTCATGGCCCAGAGAATCCAAAACTGGAGGTGCTGGAAAGGATCCTGCAGGAGCAGTTTGGGAAACCTAACAGTCCCCGGGGCATCATCTTTACCCGCACCCGCCAGAGTGCTCACTCCCTCCTGCTCTGGCTCCAGCAGCAGCCGGGCCTGCAGATGGTGGACATCAAGGCCCAAATGCTGATTGGGTCTAGGAACAGCGGCCAGAGAGCCCATATGACCCAGGTGTGGGCTTTGGGGAAAGATACTGGTACTATGTCTCCCTAGGAGAGGAGAAGAACAGGGTTTTTTGCACAGAGAGATGCAGGCTGGAAGACCCTGGGGCAGAGAGAAAGTTGAATATCCCCAGGTAGAGGGGTAGAGAGCTGGGAAGGAGATTTGGATGCTGAGATCTCCAGTACTGAAGGTTCCCCCAGTCTGGGGGGCCCTGGGAGCCAGAGGGGCAAGTGTTTGGGAGTCTTTAGGGAAAGATATGGATGATATAGTTCCTCTGAGCAGAGGATTAGGAATGTGGAGGGCCTTGTAGGAAAAGAATGGAATTTTAGAGTTGTCCGGAGAGTAGAGAGGCAGCTTCCCATAAGAGACCCTAGGAGAAATAAGGGCTGGTCACCTAGGAAGAAGGTCAAGACCTGGGGAGTACTTAGGAATAGAGATGGGATTCAAGGTCACTAGGGAGATACAAGCCAAGGTTGTGAGTAAGGACTGAACCAAGAGAGGCTGCTCTAGCAGGTGGGTAGGCCTAAAGTCACCTCATACACCAGCCTCTTTCTATTCCCTGCCTCTCCCTCAGAGAAACCAGCAAGAAGTGATCCAGAAGTTCCGGATTGGCATCCTGAACCTTCTGGTGTCCACAAGTGTGGCAGAGGAAGGGATGGACATCCCCCACTGCAATGTTGTGGTGCGCTATGGGCTCCTGACCAATGAGATCTCCATGGTCCAGGTGCCCAAACATCCCCCCTCCCTGAAATGGCCCTTGTAGAATTCCGTGTGGGACCCCAGCCCCACTCAGACCCCTCCTTTTCACCCTCCCTAGGCAAGGGGCCGTGCCCGGGCCAGTCAGAGTGTGTACTCATTTGTAGCAGCTGAAGGCAGCCGGGAGCTGCGGCGGGAGCTGATCAATGAGGGACTGGAGACCCTGATGGAGCAGGCAGTGGCTGCTGTGCAGAAGATGGACCAGGCCGAGTACCAGGCTAAGGTCTGGTGCTGGCGTGCCCTGCAGGGAAGGAAGGGGCCTGAGGAAGCTCTGCCTGGCAGGTCTCTAACACAGGCATTCCCCTGGGCCCTCTGCCTCTCAGGGCTAACTTGGGCTACCTGAGGAAGATGCGAATAGAGGGGAAGACAAAGGCCACAGGTGGGACTGCCAGAGAAGGCAGTGGCTAGTCTCCAAAAAGCCTTGGGAACAGGCCTTGCCTATGGCTTTGAATTTATCTTTGCCATCAGATACTTTGTGTATCTTGAGAGCTGCCTTATAGCCCTTCTGGAACCAGGCAGAGCAGAAACAAAGACACATACCAGATAAGTCCAGAACCAGGATGTCTACTATAGTGGCCCTGAGGCAGGATTACCATTAACCAGCTTTGTCTAGGTGGTTTCACTGTTGTCCCAGCATAATTATTATTAATGATGTCCTGTGACAAGTTCAAAGAAGCAGCTTTGCCTGAAATCCTCCAAAATGGAACAAGGATTCAGCAAGAAAGCCTCTGCCCCCCATCCTGACAGCCCCTTCCACTGTTGCCTCTGTCCCCATAATATTCTTTTCCACAGAGCTGCTTCTGAAAGCTCCATGGAGGGCTGGGGACAAATGATCTGAGGCTTTGGGAGCCCTTTGTCCTCTTGGGAGCATTCTCTTAGGTCCCAGCCCTATCCAGGTGTCCTCTCCCACCCTAGATCCGGGAACTGCAGCGGGCAGCCCTCACCAAGCGGGCAGCCCAGGCAGCCCAGCGGGAGGCTCGGAGGCAGCAGTTCCCAGCAGAGCACGTGCAGCTCCTCTGCATCAACTGCATGGTGGCTGTGGGCTACGGGAGTGACCTGCGGAAGGTGGAGGGTACCCACCACGTCAATGTGAACCCCAACTTCTCGTGAGACCTGTGGAAGGGGCTGTCCGGATGGGGGGCAGAGGTGTGGGATGGAGACTAAGAATCCGTTCCACATAGGTAGTGCTTTGAGACATTGGGAGGTGAAGAAGCATTTTAACAAATACTGATTTTGCATTTTCACAATAGTTCTGGTTAGACAGGTTTTATATTGAGTTGCATTTTATAAGTGAGGAAACAGGCTCATAAAGGCTTGCCCAAGTTCATACAGCCTTATGTGGTTGAATGAGAACTGGAATTCAGTTCTCAAATGCTGAGAAGCCATACACTGGCCCCCTAGTCCTACCTGCTCTGAGAACATCAAGAGAACCTGGGTGCCCCTGAGCCATACCCCATCCTCTGTCTCCTAGACAATAACCTTCCCCATCCTCCATTAATTCATTAAGTCAGTATGTATTAGGCATCCACTGTTTGCTGTGCCTGGCCACTCTCCCAAGGACCTCCACATTGGGTTCTCTCATTTGAGGAGACAGCATCTCAGCTAGGTCTCAATGAAGGGCTGGGTTTGAATGGGAAAAGGTGATTAGAAGTAACTGCAGGCAGAAACAAGGGACTCAGGAAACAGGGTAACTCTAAGTGACCGTAGTGGAAGGGACTGTGAATAACGAGATCCATAAGGAGACAGGCTAGATCTTGAAGGTCAGACCTCAAAGTTTAGCCTTTATCTTAGAGGCTCCTCATTAGGAATTTTGGATGGATTTTGAGCACAGGAATGTCAGGGCAGATTTTTAGATCACTCTTAGCAGTTAGTGGAAGGATGATTTGGGGAGTAAGGATGGAGGCAGGGCAATCCATCAGGAGCCTGAAGATCATCCTGGTGGGTGATGCTCAGGCCTGAAGTTGGACAGAAGAGAGGGTGCAATGGAGGCGGCAGAAGCAGAACTTACTGAAGACTGGACTTCCTTGCCCTGGGAAGGCCTGAGTCCTCAGCCAGCAGGAGGGCATGGGATGGGGGCTGGGGAGGTGGTTGATGAGGGCTGGGGCCATCCCCATTCCTCTCCAGGATCTACTATACCGTCTCCCAGGAGCCTGTAGTCATCGACAGAGTCTTCAAGGACTGGAAGCCTGGGGGTGCCATTCACTGCAGGAACTGTGGGGAGGCAAGTACTTGAGCCACATGCAAGGCCCCAGAGCTTTCAGCCGCAGTCTTCAGAGGCCCTCAGGGATCCCTCACTGGGATGGGCTCTTCTCCAGGAGCCCTCTGTGTAAGACAGTTCTGCTCCTAAGGGGGCCCACAGTGTGATGGAGATACTAACCCTTAGGTGGGAGATGCAGGCCTATATTCACAGAATTCCAGTTTGAGGAGAGAAGCCCAATCTGAGGGTAGAGACTTAACACCCTGCTCTCTCTGTCCCCACCCCCAGGACTGGGGTCTACAGATGATCTACAGGACAGAGAAGCTGCCAGTGCTCAGAGTCCGCAGCATGCTGCTGCACACCCCTCGTGGGCGGATACAGGCCAAAAAGTGGTCCCGCGTGCCCTTCCCGGTTCCTGACTTCAACTTCCTGCAGCACTGTGCCCAGAACCTGTCAGACCTCTCTCTGGGCTGACCACCTGGGAGCTGCAGTGCCCCACTCAGGCTGCAGGGGGCGGGGGAGTCCGCAGCAGTCATCACTGTCACTGGAGAAAGCCTGTGCTGGCCCCTCTCCTTCCTGAGACACCAGCTCTGGGCACGGAGCTCATCAGATACATTGGAACCACCATGTGTCCAAGCTGACTTAGGCTCCCAAAGTGAGGCGGGCCATGACTCAGCCCCCCAGAGCTACCTCAGACACTTTGCTTTACACTGGATGGAGGGGGAGGAGGCTGAAGCAAGAGAATTGCTACATTGTACTAGGAATCACAACATCCCTTTTCTACCAAGGGCACTCTTATTTGTCAAGGCTTCTCATGGATTAATAAAGGGAAGAATGGGGTAGAAGTGTGTAGTATTTTTCAAACTTTGTTGGGGTATAAAATGAACTGCACATATTTATAGTGTGCAATTCAGTAAGTTTTTAACATGTATATGTTCCTCCACAATAGAGAGATGAACGTGGCCATAACCCTCCAAAGTTTCCTCATTCCCTGTTGTAATCCAGGTTTCTCCACCTCTCACCCCTCCCCATCCACTGATGTGCTTTGTGGTAATTCTGTGTTAAAAGTTTTTTTTTCTGAGACAGAGTCTTATTTTGTCTCACGCTGCCCGCCGCCATGGAGTATGGGAGGCTGAGGGGGCACAGCAACCTCGAACTCTTGGGCTCAAGTGATTCTCTTGCCTCAGCCTCGCTCCCAAGTAGCTGGGACTACAGGTGCCCCCAACAATGCCTGGCTAGTTTTTTAATTTTTAGTAGAGATGGGGTCTCACCTGTGCTCAGGCTGGTCTCAAACTCCTGAACTGAGCAATCCACTTAGCACTTAAGGGTGCTAAGCTCAGCATCCTTGAATGTAGGATTACAGGTGTGAGCCATGGCACTGAGCTTACTGTTTTTTTATATTGTTTATTTACTTTTTTTGAGACACTTGTCACCCTTAGTAGAGTACTGTGGCATCACAGCTCACAGCAACCTCAAACTCGGGCTCAAGTGATTCTCTTGCCTCAGCTTCCTGAGGCGCTTGGGACTACAGGTGCCCACTACAACACCCAGCTATTTTTAAGAAATGGGGTCTCACTCTTGCTCAGGCTAGTCTTGAACTCCTGAGCTCAGGGAATCTACCCACCTCAGCTTCGCAAAATACTGGCGTTAAAAGTTTTAAACACTCCTTTTTAATGGCTATCCTATAGCCTTAGAAAATTTGAGGGCTTCCTGCTCTGTCACCCCATAATAGGCTCCAACCCCAATGCCCTCCTCACCATCCTTTTTTTTTTTTTTTAAGACAGAGCCTCAAGCTGTACCCCTGGGCAGAGTGCCATGGCATCACAGCTCACAGCAACCTCTAACTCCTGGGCTCAAGCGAGTCTCCTTGCCTCAGCCTCCCAAGTAACTGGGACCAAAGGCGCCCGCCACAGCACCTGGCTATTTTTTGGTTGCAGCAATCATTGTTTGGCAGGCCCGGGCTGGATTCGAACCCGCCACCTTAGGTGTATGTGGCTGGCGCTTTAGCCACTTGAGCCACAGGCACCAAGCCTCACCATCCTTTCTTAACACCCAGGTTATCTCCCTAGGACTGGGGAGAGGCTGAGATCCAGGATTTGAGGGGTGGGCTTAGGTAGGCATGGGGGTGGGGAAAATTACAAAGGCCTAAATTTTCTGTTCTCATTTTAACAAGAAAAAAAAGAAAGAGAAAGGCAAGATCTAGGTTGATTCTTCAGGGAAAGGGCTATTTCTGTAGTAAAAGGCCCAGCAGGCAGAAGTCACCTTCAAGAGGAAGGAAGGGGGCTAGGGCAGAGATAGGAGAGAAGGATGCCAGTCCTTTCTGCCATCTAACCTCCTTCCATCCTGCTACATCCTTGGTCCTACCGTAGGGTAGATGGGAAATAATTCTCCCCTTCTCTTAGCATTTTGTTTTTTCAGTTGGCCTCTTGTCTGATTGAGGCCTGAAATTCCAGTTCCAATCTTTCTGGCCTCCATCCCTCCCAGAGACTGTAGCTCTCCAGGTGTCCTTGACTGTGGCTCTAGGAGTCCCCATCTTCTCCCCTCCCATCCCATTTCCACCTCCCTCTTGGGGCCCCCTATGCCCATCTGCTCCCCACTTTGCCTTCAGTTATTATCCACCCCCCGCCCCGCCAGCAACATGCCTTTTACGTGTCAATAAAATTAGCGACTGGGGGTAGAGGGGGGGGCAGGGGCTCAGGGGTGCTAAGCTCAGTGGCCTTGAATGTGACTAGACTCACGGAGTCCCGGACGCCTGTCATTCCAGGGCTAAACAGTGACAGCTGAGCGACCTGAGCTGGCGTTGGGGCGGAGAGGGAGCTGTGTTGCGGGGAGAGAAATGGGCTGAGGATAAAGATGTCCTCCTGGGCACCTAATGGCCCCCCTCAGTAGCCTAAGCCCCTACGCAGCTGACCGCTGGAGGGAGAACCCTGCCCTTAGAGGAGGTGTACCAACTCCCACCCAGCCTGCCAGCCTCGGAGAGCTTACTTGAGCACAGATGGAAAGAGGAACTCAGACAAGGAGAAGTTTGGGGCTTGTTGTGCTTGTGAGGGGTCTTTATTTGAAGTCGCTGTCTCCAGGGCATCTGGGCAAGGCTGCCTGAAGGAGGTGATTTACTGATATCCTTGGGCCCCAAGTGTCTAACTTTCTGGCCCTCTGTGACTGCCCGTATGCTCCCCCCACCCCCGCCCCGTGCTGCGGACCTGGGTGAGCCGGCCCACCTCACCCTGTCGAGACTCGAGAGGGGCGGGACCGCGGCTCCCGCCTTCGGCCCCGCCCCCGACCGGGCCCCGCCCCCTCCGCGGCAAGCCTGCTGCCGCCGCGCTCCAAACGAGGCGAGAGCAGGTGGCCGCGGCAGGCTCTGTCTCTGCGCTCCGCAGGTAAGACAGTTATACGGGGTGGTCCACTCTGTGGACCTCGAGGGCAGTGCGGGAGAAGAAGGCACCCCCTTCCCCTTTTCCAGTCCCCTCGTCTTAAAATTTGAAGACCCCAAGGGACATCCCTGTCCCTGCTTTGCGCGCCAACATTGGGCATCTATTGGGTGTGACTAAACTCTGGGGAAGTTACAAGGTCCCGGCTGATTATCCCTGAGGCCAGGCGGATCCAGAGGGGTAGGAAAGGACAGAGTCAGTCATTAAGCATGCAGCTTTTGGAGGAGAGCAGGTTGGGGATTGTAACTCCGGAGTAAGGAATCTCAAGTGCTCTGATGCCCCGTCCAAGTCCAGCATCTTTCCCCCGGGGCCTGGAGCCATGGGGTGACCCACTCGCTTCTGTTCTGTGCCTGGTCAAATGAGGTAAGAGCCTGAGTTGGGGCCTGGGTTTTCTAGTGAACCCCTGGGCACCTGCATCGTTTATTTACAATTGGGTACAGATGTGCTTGGATGAGGAGGGTGAACAAAGGATCACCCTGGTTCTGAGGAACTCAGAGAGCCTGGGAACTGAGTAGATGTTTTCTGTGTTCAAGTCCCGGAGTCCTGGGAGAAGGGGAGGAGATGATCACAGTTGTGGGCCTTATTGTGGACATAGGGTGTGTTTTTGCATTTGGTGTTTGAGATTGGAACTGTAGGAAAGGGGTTCTGCCTCCCAGGACCTCAAGGAAGGCTTCCTGGAAGAAGAGGATAGGCTGACAGGTCTTAGCCAGAGGTAGCCTTTGAGCTTTGTGCTGGGTTGGATGCCTGGATTGTAGAACAGAGGGAGGTCAGGATGCCGCCTTCTGGATCCAGCTGAGACCCAGGGACCATCCCAAGATCATCGCAAGCCTTTGGACAGACACAGGGGACGATTGGGGGAGGAGGGCTTCCTTGTCTATCTAGATTCCCATTTCATTGCTTCCTTCCATCACACAAACCATCTTTATCAGGAAGTTTTTACTCATATGTGCCCTTCATCCCTTCTTCTTCTGTGTCAGCTTCTTGTTTCTGGGAAGCAGTGTGCTACAATGGAAAAACTGGGGGCTTTGGGGTCAGTTAGACCCAAGTTCTATCACTTCTACCTACTGCATGACCTTGAACAAGTTACTTAACCTCTTTGAATTCACTCCCTTACCTGTAAAATGGAGATAATAATAGCACCTACCTCACAGGGTATCTGCAAGGATTAAATGAGAATACGCATGGAGAGCGCTTAGCCCAGTGCCTGGCGCCTGGCGAGGGCTCAAGGAATATAAGTGTTCCGTCCGTCCCCTCATGTGTAGGACAGCAAAGCCGATCTGCAGGGGGGTGACAGGAATGAGGGGGTAGGGGAAGGGTAGTGGAAGCTTTTTTAAAAAGCTTGTCCAGAGATAGTGATGCCCTTCACTGCTCATACCATCAGCCCATGCCTCCTGCTGGTCTCTGGCTCTCTGGACCTGTCTGGGCTGCCCAGGGTCCCTCACCTCCTCTTTTCCTAATTGCCTTTTGTCTCCATGGTGGGGACGGAAGCTCCACTAGGACAGAGACCAGTAGCAGCAAGAATCAACCCAGGGCTGTGCCTCAGTGGAACAAGCTCTGGCTTGGGGACCCAAGCAAAAAAAAAAAAAAAAAAAGAAAATTGCCCTGTTATCTCCAGAAATCTACAAGTTGGTCTCAAGCCACACTAAATTTTTCCAGGAAGATAAAGGGCACAAGTGACTGAAAGTCCTGTTTGGTGATTGTCCAAGTTGCCCTCCAATGGAATGACAGCTTTAGTCCCTGGCCTGTAGAGGCTGCCAGAGAAGGCTGGGTTCAGTAGCACCCTTAAACCTGGGCATGGGAGGGAGTGCCTGTGTCCTAAGCTGGGTGCTTTCAAAGGCTCCACTCTGGCCCTCCTCCTGCCAGCCCTTTTCCTGTGAGGTGAGGAGTCAGCAGAGCCAAGGGGATGAGACTCTGTGTCCCTTTGAAGACCACATTCTCTATACCTGTGACTCTGGCAGTCACTGACTACATGGTCACTAGCTGGCTCCCAGCCCCCCATGCCATCCCTGGGTCTGTTCTCCTCAGGACAGATCATGCCACCAGTGTGTGTACCCGTGGGCCTGAGGAATAGTGAAGGAGCAGCTGTGTGTGTGCAAGAAGTGTGGATGGATCTAGAATGTAAGGCTTGGGGTCCTCATGGCAGGCACAGAATCCCTTGCAGTGCAATAAGGACCTAGCAACAGGAAGGGAGTGGCTGGGGCAAGAGTGAGAGTGGAGTGTCACCTCTGTACAATGTCATTCTGGAGCATAATTCCCAAGAGGCAGAGAAATCTAAATGTAAACCTGGTCTTCCATGTCATAAAGGTATTTGTCAAGATAGGAGTTTAGGACATATTTAACAGTTTGTTGGCTTGAGTTACAACTTTTAACTATTTAGACATATGTCTGCAGGCCATTGTTTGTCCTCTTGCCCCAGG